ATTTCCTTCAAAAATGTGCAGTAACCTGTAGTAGATCTTCTATCAGATACAGAGCCTGCCCAATCTGCATCTGTATACCCAATTACTTCAAGTTTTCCTCCTGGTTTGTACAATAACCCACGGCCTGGAGCTCCCTTCAGGTACCTTACAATTTTAAGAACTGCATCCCAGTGAGGTATCCGAGGGTTCTGCATAAATTGGCTCACCACACTGACTGCAAAGGAGATGCCTGGTCTCGTGATAGTCAAATAGTTCAGCTCCCCCACTAACCGTCTATACCTTCTAGGATCATCAAATATTTCCCCTGTATCACTGTTCAACTTAGCATTTGGTTCCATGGGAGTTTCAGCCGGTTTTGCACCTAACAGTCCTGTTTCATCCAGCAGATCAAGAACATATTTTCTTTGGCACAGGTTTACACCTTGTCTTGATCTAGCAACTTCTGTACCCAATAAATACTTCAATGTCCCAAGGTCTTTTGTTTGCAAATGATTTTGCAGAAAGACCTTTAGTTTATCGATCCCCAACTTGTCACTACCAGTTATGACAATATCATCCACATARACCACTAATAAAATCTTTCCGGCTTCTGAATCATAGCTGAACACCGAGTGGTCAACCTGGCATTGTTTCATTCCAAAGCTCTTCACCACTTCACTAAACTTCCCAAACCAAGCACAAGGCGATTGTTTCAACCCACAAATTGCCTTTTTCAGTCTGCACACCTTACCATCCTCCCCCTGAGCAACAAACCCAGGTGGTTGCTCCATTTTTAATGTCAATTTGAAACAAAGGCCAATCATACATAACTGCCAGGGAAATTAAGACGCGGACAGAGCCAATCTTAGCCACTGGAGAGGTCTCCATATAGTCCACTCCATACAACTGGGAATAACCTTTAGCAACAAGTCTGGCCTTTAGACGCTCCACACTACCATCTGGCAAGTATTTAACAGTATACACCCATTTACAACCCACAACATGCTTACCAGGTGGAAGAGTAGTGAGCTCCCACGTGTGAGTATGCTGAAAGGGCAAAGAGTTCCTCCATCATTGC